CTGGCATTACGATTTTTTGTCTTCGTTTCTATTCCTTTTCTAATAGTTCCAAACACACTGTTAGCCTTTTAGATCGCTGCGATGCACTGAGCTGATGTTTTCAGAGAACTACCCATGGTAACTCCAAGACCACTTTTTTGGGTGATAACAGCTAATTTAGAATCTATTATATATGTATAGTTGGGATTATTTTTCCCCCCATGTGCATTATTTTGCACTTATCTATGTTGAATTACATCTGACATTGTTGCCCTGTTACCTAGTTTTGTAAAATCCCTCTGTTACTCCTCACAGCCTGCTTTGGACTTATCTTGAATAATTTTGTATCTGCAAACTTCACCACTTCACTGTTCATGCCCTTTTCCAGATAATTAATGAATATATTGAACAGTACAGGTCAAATACAGATCCTTGGAAGACTGCACTCTTCATCCCTCTCCATTGTGAAAACTGACTATTTATTCCTGCCTTTTGTTTCCTATCTTGCAACCAGTTACTGATCTACAAAGGGACCTTCACTCTTATCCCAGGGCTACTTAGAATATATCTACACTGCAATTAAACACCTGCAGCTGGCCCATGTCAGCTGACTCGTGCTATGGGGCTGTTTACTTGCAGTGTTGTGTTCAGACTTGGGCTCAAGGACCTCATGAGGGGGAAGGGTTCCAGAGCCCAGGCCCAAACATCTCTACACTGCAATTAAACAGCCCCATAGCCCAAGTCCCAGGAGCCCAAGTCAGCTGACAAAGGCCAGTTGCTGGTGTTTAATCACAATGTAGACATGTTCTCAGTTTCCTCAGAGGGACCTTGTCGAAGGCTTTTGGAAAATCCAAGTACACCATATCAACTGGATCACCCTTATCCACACAGAATTATAGAAATGTAGGAAGGGAAGGGACCTCAATAGGTCATCTAGTCCAGTCCCCTGCACTGAGGCAGGACTTAGTATTATCAAAACCATCCCTGACAAGTGTTTGTCATGGGAGGTTTTTTAGAAAAGATTAGACAGATTCCACACCTTCCCTAGGTAATTTGTTCCAGTGCTCAACTACCTTTACACTTACAAAGTTTTAACCTAAACTTCCCTTGCTCCAACTTAAGCCGATTACTTCTTGTCCTCTCCTCAGTGGATAAGGAAAACAATTTATCACCCTCCAATTTCTAACATTTTACATATTTGAAGACTCTTATGTCTCCCCTCAGTCTTTTCCAGAGTAAACAAACCTAATTTTTTTCTTGTAGGTCATGCTTGCAAGACCTTTAATCATTTTTGTTGCTCTCCTCTGGACTTTCTCCAAATCGTACACATCTTTCCCAAAGTCTGGTGCCCAGAACTGAAGACAGTATTCCAGTTGAGACCTTTTCAGTGTTGAGTAGAATAGAAGAATTTTTTCTCGTGTCTTGCTTACGACCCTTCTGCTAATACATCCCAGAATGGTGTTCGTTTTTTTGTTTGTTTGTTTTTTGCAACAGTATTACATTGTTGACTCATATTTAGGTTAGTGATCCACTATAGCCACCAGATCCTCTTCTGTGGGATTCCTTCCTAGGCAGTCATTTCCCATTGTGTACTTATGCAATTGATTGTTCCTTCCTAAGTGGAGTACTTCGCATTTGCACATATTGATTTTATCCCATTTATTTCAGACCATTTCTCCAGTTTGTCAAGATCATTTTGAATTCTAATCCTGTCCTCCAAAACTCTTGCAACCCCTCCCAGCTTTGTACTGTCCGCAAAATTCATACGTGTACTCTTTATGACACTATCCAAATCATTTATGAAGATATTGAATAGAACTGGACCCAGGACAGATTCCTGTGGGATCCCACTCAATATGCCCTTACAGCTTGACAGTGAACCAATTATAACTTCTCTCTGAGTACAGTTTTCTAACCAGTTGTGCACCCACCTTATAGTAGGTTTCGCTAAGCTATATTGACATAGTTTGCTTATGAGAGGGTCATGTGAGACAGTATCAAAAGCCTTACTAAACTCGAGATATATCACATCTACTGCTTCTCCCTTATCCACAAGGCTTGTTGAACTGTCAAAGAAAGATATTAGGTTGTATTCTTGTTGGCTCCCTCCAGGAATTCTAATAGATCAATGAGGCATGACTTCCCTTTACAAAAGTGCTGGTGCCCAGTACTTATTTTGGGCTCACCTGCATGTAATTGCCATGATTGCCTCTTTTAAAAAGACAGCATTACATTCGCTACCTTCCAGTCATCTGGTACAGAGGCTGATTTCAGTGATAGGTTATACACTACTGTTACTAGTTCTGTAATGTTATACTTTAATTCTTTCAGAACTCTTGGGCGAATACCATCTGGTCCTGGTGACTTACTACAGTTTATTGATGAATTTGTTCTAACATTTTTCTGTTGACACATCAAGTTGGACAGTACTTCAGATTTTGTCGCTACCAAAGAACAGCTCTAATGTGGGCATATCCCCCACATCCTCTACAGTGAAGACCGATGCAAAGAATTCATTTGGTCTCTCTGCAATGGCCTTGTCTTCTTTGAGTGCTCCTTTAGCCCCTCTGTCATCTAGTGGGCCCCACTCCTGTTTGGCAGGCTTCCTGCTTCTGATGTACTTTAAAAAAAAGTTACTGTTCGTTTCGACATCTTTAGCAAGTTGCTTCTCAAATGCTTTCTTGGCCTCCCTTAATATATTTTTTTAAAATTTACTTGTCAGTGTCTATGTTCCTTCCTATTTTCCTCATTAGAATTTGACTTCCATATTTTAAAGGATGCCTTTTTGCCTCCACTGTTTAGCCATGGTGGTAGTCTTTTTTGATTTAGAGTATACGTTTAGTCTGAGCCTGTTAGTGTTTTTAAGTTGGCTCCATGCTGGTTGCAGTCATTTTACCTTTGTGACTGCTCTTTTTAATTTCCATCTAACTAGCATCCTTATTCTTGTGTAGTTCCCCTTTTTAAAAGTTAAATGTTACTGTGGTGGGGGTTTTGATATTTTCATCGCCTACAAGGATGTTAAATTTAATTACATTATGGTCACTATTGCCAAACAGTTCAGCCTATAGAGGGTACATTTCACATGAGTTAATAGGTTAAGGTAAGCCCTAAGTTCCCGCACACATTCTCAACCTGCTAACTCATTTGAAAACTACATACTGCCTGGCCTTCACTAGGATTCTGCCTCAAGTTAGAGACATTCCTTGCTTGTTCAACGCAGCTGGGCTGTGCATGGATGTAGCATGAGGCTGACATGACTGTGCCACAGGTACAGCTTAATTAATATACAAAAACTTTTGTAAAAGGTAGATCAGCATTTTTAACTGGACTCTGTACTGTATAGACAATCAGTGGAGAGGCAAAGCACTACTCTGGAGAACTCCCACTCTGCCTTGCCCAATAATTACCATTCTGGCATAAAGCTGGACAAACACTTTGAACTGACATTTGAAAGAAACTACACTAGAAAGTGCTGAGGCACCTGAGAATTAGAGGTGTCCATCACACAAATGCATATGGGGATTATAAAACAATCCAGAAAACCAACAGCCTGTTCTGAGAGAAAGAGGAAAGATTACCCAAGTGACTTTAGATATTCTTTCCCCATACATATAATCATTAGGAAATCTTTTTATCTTTTGCTTTTTTTTTTTTTTAGTAGACAAAATCCCAATCAGACCCCATAGCTTTCCCCACAAAAATACTTATGAACATTATGTTTTGATATAAACAAAACAAAAAAACCTTAACTTTTATAGTTTTGTAGCCTCAAAATAATCCCAATCTCTGTTCTTAAAAAAACTCCTGCCTCACTGACCTCGTAAAGCCACAGTGCCATCATCAGAAAGCTTATTTGGATCAAGAAATATTTTGGCATCAGCATCCAAGGATTCTTGCACATATAATACTCGTTGGTTCTGTAGTCCAGTATTGTAAAAGTGAAAATACCTGGAAAACACAAACTGAGTGAGTAAAAAAGGAACGCTATTTTTATTTTCCAGCTCAGCTAGAAAAAGAAAAAGAAAGAAAAAGGAGGAGGAGGAGGAGAAGGTGGTATGAAAGATTGGTAAGAAGCCATAAAAGACAAACAGAAGCCATACAGTAGTGACATCTTTACAACAGATATCCAAATGCTTCTAGAATAAAGGGATATGGAATTCATGTAAGCCACCTTCTACCAAAAACAAACAAACCAAAAACCCAAACAAAAACACACACATACTATATACACAATAGAGGATGAAGTAACTTCCACACTACAACATGACACTGAACAGTTTGACAATTTTGACATCTTAGCAAGTTAGGGAAGCTTCATAGGACAGTTTACCTTAAAAAAACCTTTGCACTCAATATTACGATTTCAAAGTTTTTAAAATAATAATTCACAGTTTTCATTCTCTAAACTTTCCCCCTCATATGCTTCCTAGAGCAAATGACTCCTTTATGTTTCCTTCCAACCTGAGCACTGTATCTGGTGGCTGATAAGTAAGTTTTAAATAAAAGAAACTGCATTTGAAATGGTTTCCCTGCATTTCCTTGCTAAGGTCTAGCACAGCAATAAGTGTCAGGAGACAGGTTTCAGAGTAGCTGCTGTGTTAGTCTGTATCCGCAAAAAGAACAGGAGTCCTTGTGGCACCTTAGAGATGAACACATTTATTTGAGCATAAGCTTTTGTGGGCCACAGTCCACTTCATCAGATGCATGGAATGGAACATACAGTAAGAAGATATATATACACACTTACAGAGGACATGAAAAAGTGGAAGTAGCCATACCAACTGTAAGAGGCTAATTAATTAAGATGAGCTATTATCAGCAGGAGAAAAACACGTTTGTAGTGATAATCAAGATGGCCCATTTTAGACAGTTGACAAGAAGGTGTGAGGACACTTAATATTAATATGCAAACTAGATACCATTAACTTGGGTTTGAATAGAGACTGGGAGTGGCTGGGTCATTACACATATTGAATCTATTTCCCCATGTTAAGTATCCTCACGCCTTCTTGTCAACTGTCTAAAATGGGTCATCTTGATTATCACTACAAAAGTGTTTTTTTTTTTAAGTTAATTTCACTTCTGTGTTGCCAGGTATTTTCACTTCCTAGTTTACTAAATTAGCGTGACTGGATCACTGTTTCCCAGAACACTTTTTGTGCTCCCTCAGCTTTTTAAAGAGTATCTGTAATAGCTGCTGTTTCAGAGATGCTTAGTTGCAGCTGCTATTTCTTATCTTATAGTTGAAATGATATGATTTATGAATTTCTAAATATTATAACCATAAGAAGTTTATAGGCCTTTTTTTCAACTGAGTAAGATGTACATGAGAAAGTCCTTTTTATATCATGTAATCTCTAGATCTGGATAAATACGATTAAAAGTGGTACAACAATCACAATTTTTTGAAGTTAGTCTCTCACATGAGGCTGATCATTACTAATGGATAGTGAATACATATTTCAGATAGGGATGCTATTGGAAGAGCTACAGCTCCTCTCCCTGGCTTTGTGTAGCAAAGCCACTTTCTGAGTAGTCCTCCTTTCCCAATCTCTGTGAAGCAGCATGGAAGGAAGATAGGGGAATTCCTTGCACCTGTGGATAGTTGTGGTAAAGCATCAAAACCTATTGGTTGACTGAAAAAAGGCTGAACTGAAAGATAGAAAGGGCTCTTTATGAATTTTTACAATTAATAAATGTCCACATGGGACAAACGGACATTACAAACAAGGCTATCACATCCCCTCTTTGCTCTTTTTGCTTGAGAACTGCTGCATGTCTCTGTAGTGATGTCATAGGACGAGGTAACCCAAGCTGCAACTCCATCTCTGCAGTTGAGGAAAGCCCAAAAATCAACATCCCGCTTTCTACCCTCGCCTAGTTAAAAGGAACAAAAGTTGCGATTTAAATTGGCAAAATTGTCAGTAACTAAAGTTTTTAAATGAGTACCCTTATAGTCCCATTTTCTTTTTTTAAATCCTTGTTAAACAGTATGACTTTCTGCTCCTCTGCTGATATTTAAAGGTCTTTTGAGCAAAAGAATATCCATAGAAAGATAATGAAAATGACTACGTAAAGTCCTGTCAATTGCACAGAGTAAAAATAGCAAAATTTCCTCAGGCCCCCCCCTCGACGTTTCCAGCTTAGTAATCCTAGTTATTACTTATAACCAGGACTTAGAATTCAGCTTTATGATTTAAAAGCACCCAACAGCTTCTTTACATACCTTTTTCCTTTCTTGAAGTGGCAACTGTACTTGGGATAGTCATAGAGCTCAGTCATTCGTTCTTTGAATAACCCTCTGACAGGACACTGCTCAAGAAAGGGCACTGTAAGCTTATTCTGGGCCTCCACAAAAGCCTGAAGGTAAAAAATAATGCACATGCTGAGTCAAACATACCTATATGTCGTACAAGAAATACTATCTATCTTCTGACACAAGTCGCACAGAAAGAATTGTTCTATGTATTTGACGTGTAGAGTCACCCATGAAGAGTCTCAACGCCTACCTCCATAATATCATGATAAAGTGATAGAAAATAAAGTATTCAAGATAAAATAGTAGATTTCAATCTTGACTCTCAGTGGCACACTTGTGTAATTAAAATTACAGCCACCAAAAACCAGATTTCCTCCCATCCCCCAAAAAGAAGCATTTAAGAAAGCGTCTCATATTTGTCCAAGAGGCTTGGGTAAAAATCAGATTATAGTGCAGGGGTCGGCAACCTTTCAGCAGTGGTGTGCCGAATCTTCATTTATACACTCTAATTTAAGGCTTCGCGTGCCGGTAATACATTTTAACGCTTTTTAGAAGGTCTCGCTATAAAAGTCTAATATATAACTAAACTATGTTATATGTAAAGTAAACAAGGTTTTCAAAATGTTTCAGAAGCTTTATTTAAAATTAAATTAAAATGCAGATCTTCAGTTTAGTGTGGTCCTTGTCCTTGCTTTTCCTTGCTGAGTTTTCCAATGTCTGGCACGTATTTGGATACTTTAAGCTGCACACAGGCTTCTGAGTGATCTGTTGTTAACCGGCTCCGAGAGGGACAGAGGACAGATTTCATGTGTGAAAATACCTGTTCACACAGGTACGTGGATCCAAATGCTGAAAGCATTGCAATTTTCTTCAAACAGTTAAATTTCACTGGCAGGGATGTCCAGCAGGTCAGAATAGAGGCCCCATGATCTCTCTCGGTAGCTTCAAGTGCGTTCCGCAGATCCACAAACTTTGATATCCACAATTCTGAGCTTTTTAACTAAATGAGTTGGATTTCGAAATCTTCAACACCCATCCACTGAAATACAGACAAATCCAAGTCGCTTTCGTTGAACTTCAGGTTTAATTAGAAAAGAAAGCATTGGGCCAAATCGCTGGAAAACTTCAAATCTGTCAGAAAATTCTGATTCCAGTTCTTGCATGTACTTTCCAATCTCATCGATACTGACAATGCAACGTGTCGATAGCTCCTTTATGTGTTGGAAGTAGCGGAAAGTAGAAGTTTGAATATCCCTAGAAAAAACTGCTAGTTTCACAACAAATGCTTTCCAGGCTTCATAAAGTTCCAGAACTGTTTGCCCTGCACCCTGGAGACAGAGGTTAAATTCGTTCAGGTGAGCAGTGGTATCAGTTAGGAACATGAGCTTACACAGCCATTTGTCATCATCCAGTTTGGGGTAGTTTTGTTCTTTTTCCGACAAAAAGGCCTTGATTGCCTCAAAACAGTTTACAAAAGCGCACCAAAACCTTGCCACGACTTAGCCACCAAATGTTGCTGTGAAGTGGGATGTCGTTATAAGCACTGTCCATCTCTTCTAGCAGTGCTTGAAATTGTCTGCGAGTCAAAGCAGATCGAGCAACAAGGAAATTCACAATTCGCACCACTGTATTCATCACATTATTAAGCTCTGAATTAGAAATTTTTGCACACGGGTTTTCTTGATGGATGATACAATGAAATTTGACTGTCGGATGGCCAATTTGATCTTCAAGTAACTTTACAAATCCCTTCTGTTTTCCAACCATGGCAGGAGCACCATCTGTTGTCACACAATATTTTTCTCATGTTAACTCCTCGTTCTTCAAAATGGTTTACAAAACTTTCCAGTATATCTTCCCCCTTTGTTGTGCCATGCAGGGGTTTTAGGCAACAAAGTTTCTCTTGGATTTCATCGGAAGCACAGTATCTTGCAACAATTGCCAAACGTGAACGTCATTTATATCCACGCTCTCATCAACTGCAACACTAAACACTGCTGTGTCTTTCAATGCAGTCGTCTGCTTTTCCTTAATGTTTTCTGCCATTTCACTTATGCGTCTCTAAACTGTTCTGGCAGAGATGGGCAGTTCTTTTATTCTAGATAGGATTGTATCTTTATTTGGCAAATCATTGAACAAAATCTCTGAACTGCTGAGAAAAACTTTTTATATATTCCCCATCTGTAAATGGCTTTCTGATTTTTTGCAAAGCACTGTGCAATCTTGAAACTTCCTTCTGTAGCTTGATTTTTTACTTACACTTAAGCTTTTAAAAACACTGCTTTGCTTCTCAGGCTGCTACTGCCTTTTTGATTGATTCAGTCTTGTCTGCTTCATCTCGTGCTTCGTTTCGAAATGTCGAACACTTGATGTGCAACAAACAACACCTTCATAACAGAAAGCACAAATAGCACGGTCCTTCTTTTCAATAAATCCAAATGCATCTGTCCAAGCAGGCTGAAATGATCGGACATCTAGCTTCGCTTTCTTAGGAGCTGCCATTTTGTCAAATGTTCCCTTTAACTCTCAGTGGGAAAAAAAATGGCAATAGAAGGCAGGCACAAGGTCCAAGGCAGTGTGGTCTAAGATAAGCAATTTTAAGATGGGGTTCTGAGCTGCACCCCCTCTTGCCTGGCATGCAACCCTCACTGTCCCAGGCTGGGGACCAGGAGCAGAGCCCAGGGTGGCCTGCTGGGACTCCAGGCCCGAAAGCAGGCTGAGCAAGGGCTGGAAACCAAGATTGGCAGCTGAGGTGAGTGGAGTAGGTGGCTGGTAGGCCTGAGCAGGGCTGGAGTCCTGGACCCTGTCTGCAAGAGAGCCTCCAACCGTAAGCAAGGTGAGTGGAGCTGCACGGTAGAGACCTCTGCTGGCGAGGGGCCAGCAGCCAGAACCCCAGAGCAGCGACTGGCTCAGCCTGCCACCACTCTGGGGTTTCTGCCCCCAGCTCCTGCCAGCTGAGGTCTCAGCCCGCTGCCAGCCTGGGGTTCCTTCCCCCCAGGCCAGCTGCGGGTGCTGAGTTGGACCCGCGGTGGGTCCTGCAGCAGGTCCCGCAGGAGCCGGCAGCTGGAACTCCAGAGTGGCGGTGGGGCTGAGCGGCTCAGCCCATGCCGCGTGCCAGTAAAAATTGGCTCGCGTGCCAACTTTGGCACGCGTGCCGTAGGTTGCCGACCCCTATTATAGTGTGTATATAAATAGTGTTAGCTTCACTTGCATCACAAGAAGTATACAGAGCTGCAGTACAGCCTCCAGTACTCTACCAAGAAGGATAGTATTTATATGGCAGCGTATGACTAGCAGACATACATAACACTGAGCTGTGTCAATCCATCACATCTCACAAGCTATATAGAATTGGTCTGGACAGTAAACCCAGGAAAGCCCAGGGTACAAACAGGAATTGGTTTTGTCAGTTCTGAAGACAGCACTTCTTCCTTCTCAGAATGCACTGAACCAAATCCTCATGACAGCAGGTGAGATTCACACATGTGAAGAGGACTCGAATGGTGCATAAAGGTATGTTCTGAGCTGGGTCTCTGTTCTCGAGAGACATATGATCACGTTCCTGATCACTTGTGGACATTAAAATTTCAGTGTCACAAAAGGGTAGTAATGTCAACCCTGGTCTCAAGGCCAAATCCAACTCAATTATCTTTTGCCTACCCAAGTTCCTTCTGCAATTTCAATTAGAAATGATATTCTTCTATTTCACATCCTAAAACTATTATGTAGGGTGTCCGGGAGCTGTTAAGTAGGTGCTGTATTTTATCCCAGAGTTGAGTTCTTTTCAGCAGCAGATGAAAGGAGCACTTTATAGCTTAAATAGCAGTCTAAAATACTTTACAATTCTTCAGAAAGCAAGGTGCTATATAAACAAAATGGATCCCAGCGGTCCATTGCCTTGTACCTTGAGTACTCATTTACCTCTTGTGCAATGGAGTAAAAAGTACCATTCAAACTTTGCATATGCGAGAGGAACTCACATAAGCCCCTGGTCTGCTAGTACAGGTACTAACCAAATCTAGCAAAGAGTATTAATTTAGGAGCTATAAATGCCCAACAAAAAAATTAATTCAGAGAAAACAAATTGATTATTTCAATTAAGCCATCATGAGAATGTAGATAGCAAACACACTGGCTATTCATTTAATTAAATTAATGTTTGCAAAACACTAAGATTCGCAGATCAAAGGGACAATGTAAGTGTGCAAATTATTATAAATAGCCACACATTTATTCCATTTGCTATCCTGAATTGTACTGGTATATCAGACCCGGGGTAAACACTTTAGGACTTTTCTTATGTTCTTATAGGGCATGTTGAATAGAGTAATACTTACACATTAACTGTTCTGCTCACTGTCAGATCAGACCAGTAGTTCTCAAAATGTATTTGATTGCACCCTCCTTCTTTGTGTCTGTAGTAGTTCACGCCCCCCATCCCTCCCGCCACACAAGTACATATACTGATAAAAGTGGCAGAGGCACTTCACTTGAATCAATTTTGGCTTCTGTATTTTTCACTTGAGTTTGGCTCATTCGTTTGATCCATTCTAATAAGAGCAAAAGCAAAACTGTGATTGTGATGCATTCTTACAATTAATTGTGCACATCATGTTGTAGAAAATGGATTAAGGTAAAGACTTTGTATAATACTATGCAAGCTTAGCAGAAATCCATCAATACACACAGCGCCATCTGAAGACCTGATATGTCTGGAGGAATCAGCTTTGCCAGTTATTTGTTGCTGTGGGGTAAAATGTGTATAGTGAGGTTTTTTCCTCCCTCAAGTTTCTCATGCCCCCCAGAATACATTCCACAACCCCCTCCCATCTAAGGGGACCCACCTCCCCTGTTTGAGAACCTCTGGATTAGACCAATTTTACCATTATGGAATACTTCACTATATTTCCCCCTGCCTCTGCTCAATCACAAAGTATGTTGCAAAAGTTACAAAAATATTTATAAATGGGATATTTTCAGAGTCTAAAAAATGACTTAGAATTAATAGGTTCCGCAAGAGTTTTGTTGAGAGAAGATCCAGACAACTACCCTCAAGAATAAAAAATAAAAAAAAAACCCTGACTTTCCAAAAGATTGCACG